CGCCGTGCATCTTGACGAAGCGGACGGTGTCGTTGCGCTTGGCAACCTCACGCATGCACTCTTCGACATCGAGGTTGATGTTCGACTATATGAGTTAGTTGATGCAGTGTGTTTAAGTTTCATCTCAACATACCTGGGAGTCATAGATGAAGACGACAACGGTAGTACCCGACGCGGTCTTGTCGACAGCATCGAGATACCCCTCACCATCCACCAACGGCATGCTTCCATATATCCTCCGGCTAGGGCTGTTGGTCCTCGACCGTATCCTCTCACCAACATTCTGCAGTTCCTTCAACCTGGCCTCACGCCATTGGCGCATGAAGCCCTCGTCGACCTCGTCATCACTGCTCGATGTCTTCTCGTCGTGATAGGCATTGACGTTGTACTGTGCGGGAGCGGCGTTCTTCTTCCATGTGAATCGGCGTGCTTGCTTCTTGGCCTGCTCAAACGCCTGGGCGTCAGCAATGACACCCTTGGGCCCCGTGTTGGCCTCTGAGCGCAGGTTGGGCATGTAGTAATTCGCCCTCATGTCGGCTGGGATGTCGAGCTCGTCGTCGGTATCGATCTTCTCGAGGTAGTCGTCGGCGGCACCAGGGGATTCCGGGTCGGAGAGGTCGGAGTCGTTGTGTCGGTCTTCGGGGTGGCGGTCTTCGCGGTCCTTGTCTCGGATCAGTTCGTTGAATTCGTCTTGAGCGGCTGTAGTCATGACGGAAGAAAAAGAAGAGCGGGACCCGAATGACGGGCGCCGGACTGATATATGTGTGGAGAAGGGGGACGGTCAGCGTCAGCTGTTTGCAGAGTCCGTGTACAGGTCCCGGTGTCTGGTGACGCGTTGGTCTGTGGTGGGCAGAAGGAAAGGGAGTCGTTGCAAGGTTGGGGTCGGTCGTCTGGGATGGTGCTCCGCTAGATGACAGGCCTTGGCGCGCGTGCTTGCAGGGCTATTTTCGAGTGCGCGCTGGGGTTTCAGCGATGCAATTGGACGCGCACGGGAGAATTCCCTCGAGGATTCCAACGTGCGTACGTGGATAACGTGGTCGAGGCGGTACGGTGTGTAGGGGTGTGCTTGGTAGGTGCTGTTTTAGGGCTGATGCTGACCGGCCGATTTCACGATGCATTAGACGCCCGCACGGGGCCGCATCGCACTCCATTGGCGAAGCGCAAAGGCATGTCGGCCTTATGAAACAGGATGCTCGAGTGCGAAACACGCTCACCCGCCTGTACACCGCCCAATCGAGGACCCGCGGGTGGCGCGCAATGGCTTGGGGCGCCGCGTGAAAGCCTGACGACTGCTGAAACACCATGCCGAACTATCTTGCTACACGCCTCCTCGACACGTCTGTCACAGCATCAACCTGCCCTATCCTCGCTGCTGTTTGGAGGCTACACGTCACAATGACCTTACGCCTCTGCTAACCCTCTCATGCGCTCTGGATGTTTCAATCTCCTCGAGGCACCAACTGTCATGCAGCACCAGAGTTCCATGGCACCGCCGACCAAAAGGGGCCGAGGGATCTCTCTTTCGGTCTTGTTTGATATTCTCGTCCCGGCCACATCCCGGATGCGAGTCCCCCGGTGCACATGCAATGGAATCCTTCTGTGCTCGCTTCTAGAAGCATTAATGCCATCCATCGCGTTCCTATTCTCCGATCGACTCCTGCATCGGCTGAGGCGCTTCCTTTTGTCGATTCCAGGGTCCAGTTGCCATGCAGCCTAAGATTGCGGGCATTAGCTGAGGCACGTTAATGCCAAAGACGATGGTTCGATACATTGATTTCTCTTCGAAAACAGAAAAGACGTTGCATAACCGCCCGGGTGAAAGTAAAATACGACGTGGCTCCTGCGTCTTCTGCTCGGTCGCTCTGCTGTCATCCATGAAGATCACAACCATAATCTATCAGCCCTGCCCGACGAACGCCTAAAGTACGGTCACGCTACCATCACCGCAATAAGCTCTGATCGCTGATACTCCGGCTTGTCACTGCTTGTCCCGGAGTGACGTCCGGATGGGCAATTGGGGTCCCCTGGGCAACCTAGTCATATGCATAACGGTGTGCGCGCCACTAGATTCGCGAGCGGGTATCATCCCAGGTGGTGCAATCACCTTGGAGCTGTTAATGCCTCGCACAACGGCCTAGGCCAGACGGGCAAAAGTAACTTCTACTGCTGAGGCTACAGTAACCGCTGAGAGCGCCGAACAACAGCTGCGACAAGGTCTAGAAGGCACGTTGATGTTGATTACTTCTTTCACGAGCTGACCTGGACTGAGCGCGCTCAAACCTTGGAATGCTCGAGACGTTCCAAAGTTCATGGAAAAGGCAATATCAGTCATCTTATCACCATGCAAAAGCGTTCGATAAACTTAAAAGAGGTATATAGAAACTCGCTGACTACCGACTCATCCTTCACAACCCAATCAAATCGTACACATTGAAAGCCCATGCGCCAGAAAGCCATGATCCGTCCATTCAGTCCCCCTCATCCATGGATTCTCCAAAACCATTTGCACGTAGTAGAATCCGAAACATACAGTAATGAAGCTCCCCGTCTTGCACAGCCCCATCTCTTCCCACGCAAGTGCAAGTACAATCGGTCGCTTTTAATGATCAGGCAGAACGCAAGGAGAAGACTATGTCGAAGGTTGATGTAGATAGGTGCTACTCATGTACGTAGAACAGCCGGCCCGGACATGAAGACGAGTGTGAGTAGTATGCTCGCACCGTCGAGAAAGGAATAGAACAGTGGTATGAAAAGAAAAAGTAGTTTGAGCACAAAAAGATTCCGGGCGCCGGGACATCAGTTGGCACCGTAGCCACATCGACGATTCCAACAGGTGCGAGTATTATATTCTTAGAGTATGGCAGCGCTCAGTCTCCTGGTTGATAAGATGCAGCAGGGGTATGGTATGCCAGGAGTTGCCGAGATCGCTGTCGTAGGTTGTAGTTTGCCAATATTACGGTAAGGCGCACACGTTCGGATTGGCGTCGTTACATGGCGTCGTGGAAGTTGGGGAGGCTGACGGCACTTATGCCCAAATGCGCAGCTATGCCAAGTCAGTTGTGTGATGCAAACGGGAGCACGAGAGAACCTACCATTGAGTCCCATGAACCAGTGCATAGACTGAGCGCGTCGTTGCTAACGCCGAGACAGCTGACGCGGTTGTCGTGTCCTTGCAATGTGCCTACGCGTTCACCGCGGAGTACGTCCCAAACCTGGATATTATTAGACGGTGAAACCTGTGGGGGCTGCGCTGACTGCTTACCTTGCACTCAAAGTCGTCGTAACCAGCAAATAGCAGTCTTCCGGAGACGGAGAAGGCTACGGATGTGATACCGCAGACGGGCTCAGGAATCTATGGCAGACATTAGTAATCCAAATGCCAAGAGTGCCAGATATGTCAGCGGGCATACCTGGTATGATGCCAGCTCGCGGTCGGCGCGGATGTCGAACAGACGGCAGGAGGCATCGTCGGAACCGGTACCGAAGGCGTTTCCGTTGGGGAAGAATTGAATGGCGTTGATGTCAGAGTCGTGCGCGGCAAAGGTCTGTACGCACTTCTGCTGTCTGATGTCCCAGAGCTTCGCGAAGGCGTCGCAAGCACCGGAGACGAATTGGTTGTGGTCGAGCGGGTTAATGCTCAAGCTCATTACGTCGCCGAGATGGTCGGCAAACTCATGCACCTTCGAGCCAGTCTCCAGATCCCACAACACACAGGTCATGTCACCGGATGACGTAAGGATGCGCTTGTCGGAGATAAATCTGCAGCAACTGAGGTAGCCCGAGTGGCCAGACAGCTCGCGTGCCACGCGTGTTGGGCCTTCCCGCGCCGACAGGTTGTAAATGGAGCAGATGTTATCGAGACCACCACAGGCGACGTAGTTGCCGGACGGCGAGTAGGCGCACGTCATGACCCAAGACGATCGCAGAGGGATGGCGTGGACCTTGTTGGTCGTGTAGGCGTCCCAGATGATGAGCTTTCCGTCCTGCGAGGCGGAGACGAGATGTCTGCGGTCGGTAGACCAGTGCATGGCGTAGATTTTAGCCAGATGGCCCTTGAGGGTGCGCTTCGTCTTCATGGTGAGGCGCGGCAGAGCCTCGACACGGTCTCTGGCGACATCGCGAACTGCGCTCTTGTGTTAGCCGTCTACGAGGTTCCGATGCGGTGAGCACGCCGGCTGGAAAAAGAACATACGGGTCGTGTCAGCGAGCTCATCCTTCTTGCGCTTTATCCTGTCCTTGAGCGCCTCAGCGTCGCGGCGGGCGAGCTGGATCTTCTGCTGGATCGTTTCTTGGTTCATATCGGCCATATATTAGTGGTGTGCTGGTGGTGAGGGTGCTGTCGCGAGCGGCGCGAAACGGCGAGGCAGGCGAATCCAGGGGCCTCCTAGGGAGCGCGGCAGCCGGAAGCAAGAGAGAGCGGCGGCAGGAGCGATGGACAGGCGGCAGCAATGGCTAGACGCGCGCAGAGCAGAATCAATTGCTTGCGCAGAGGGAGCGGCGGCTGGCAAACGGTCGTGGGGGCGTGAGGATGGAAGGGTGAGTGCTTGGAGATGAGTGAGGTACAGGAGCGGCCCGGGGTGAGCTTAGCTTGGCCTAGCCGAGCAACGAGCGCTGGAGATCAAAGGGCGGTGCTCCGCCAGTCTGTCGCGAAGATGCCCACTGCAAACACCTGCCGTGACACGTGAGCGATGTGAAGGGGCGGTAACGTGAAGGAGCCCTGCGTGCTGTCGGGTCGGGTGTTTGCACAGCTGGAGGCGCGAACGTGGTGTTGCTATGCTCTGCTCCTGTCTGGACCTGACGAAGAAGGCGCGCGCTGCAATCTCCTGCAGCGCACCTCCTCCTTTAGGCGACGGACGAATGAGCAGCGAGCAGCCTCGGCTGGCACTATGACCCGCGTCCGCCGCTATACCCCCCAGGCCTCCTGTCCTGAAGTCTATTCACCTTTCCATTATCGCTTCGAGAACCATCCCCACGCCACCAATACCGCCGTGTTCCCCAGTATGGCTGCACTCCCCATTGCGACTGCACACGACCTGCCCGTCGACGCTGCCTTCACCAAGGGCCTGCCCAAGATTGAGGTACTGCTCCAGCCTCCTCGGTCCCTAGTCATCGCGCCAAGGACGCTCAGACTTCCGTTCGCTGATGCTAATGACGCGATTCAGCTTCATGCCCACTTAACCGGCAGCATCAGTCGCGACTGCCTGCACGCCATCTGGGAGACAAAGAAAGCACGGCATCCTGACTTCGACCTCGAGGATCCCTGGCTTGCTATACCCGCGGGCAAGCTCGACTACGATATCAAAACGTAGGCCTAGCTCGATTTGCTCGTCGTTCGGAATTCTCGCTGTAACACCGGCGTGCCGTTGGGAATACATTGGCCAAGACGATCGCGCAAGCGATTTCGCGGCCAATATTCCCCTGACAAATGATCGCTACCCGCTTGGTCGTCCCAAACAACTGGCTCACCACGCGAAATACTAGCAGACGTCTGACAGCTAGATTAGGTTCTTCCCGCTGTTTTCGTCATACATCTATCGCCTTTGCAGTGATTTGCCGAGCATCCAGTATGTCTGTCGATATGGACGTGTATGGTGAGCTGCGGTTGATCAATCTAGGTACTCCACCAGGGCTGTGTTGCAAGACTTCCAGGATGATGGGGTAGTATACGTTGAGCTTCGAACGACCCCAAGAGCGATCCTCGGAGAAGGCGTTACCAAAGACGACTACGTGAAGACCGTTTTGGACATACTCAATGCCCATAATGACGATGCTAACAACACCATGCGAGCTTTCCTCATACTATCAATCGACCGTCGCAATAACGTCGCAGATGCGGAAGAAGTCGTCGATCTCGCCATCAAGTATCAGTCCGCCGGCGTTGTTGGTGTCGACCTATGCGGCGACCCAGCGAAAGGTGACATTCGCATATTCGGCGACAGCTTCGCTCGGGCAAAGGCTGCCGGACTGAAGATCACGCTGCACTTTGCCGAGAGCGAAAATTCTTCCTCGGATTTGGAGTTGCAAACACTCTTGTCATGGCAACCTGACAGACTGGGCCACGTCATACATGTCAAAGATGAGTTTAAGAAGACCATCGAGCAGCACGGAATCGGCGTTGAGCTGTGCCTCAGCTGTAACGTCCATGCTAAGATGATCACGGGCACTTACTCGGACCACCACTTTGGAGTGTGGCGACATAGCAGTGTTCCCGTCGCTCTGAGCGTACGTTCAGCTCTGGAAACTGTGTGTTCCTCGTGATGACTAACACCCGGCAGACGGATGATGTAGGTGTCTTTTGCAGTCCGCTCTCGCAAGAGTACTACCTCGCGGCGCAGCATTTCCATTTGGACCGAAAAGATATAAGAGCGCTTTGCGAACGAGCGATAGAGTCAATCTTCATGGGCCGCGATGAACATGCCCGTCTTCGGAACATATACGCATCTTGGAACGGATGGGATATATAAATCACGGCCGAAGCAACAAACAGTCATTCGGCTGATAAACTCTAGTCATAATGGCTCTGGTATATGACCAACATTATTCTACCACGTCTTTCGCAATAGTCATCGCTGAGCACAGGATCTTGCAATGCATTCTCCTTCTTTTCTTCCTACAATCCCTCTCCCATAAACACTACTACACGACGATTAACTACTTAACAACGCGCGATACACGTTCGCACATCCACACGACCTATCGCACACTACCGAGCTACGGTCACTATTGCCGGCCACTCAGACTTCGATCTTTCACGCTGGCAAGGACGTTCGCAGCTCCAGCATGGCTATCATCCCACTGAACAGCGTAGTCTTCACGCTCTTCTTGATCCTTTCTCTAATCGCCGGGACTGCTGCTCAAAGCTCGGCTCAGGCTGGTACCGACACCTCACCAAGCGCATCACGGGCTTCTGTGCAGGCCTCCTCTCAGGCTTCGCAGGCTGCCTCTCAGACCTCACTAGTTACATCTCAGACCTCTCAGGCTACTTCCCAGCCTTCTCAGGTCGCCTCTCAGACTACTCAAGCTATCTCTCAGGCCGCGTCGCCAAGCACTACTCCGACAAATTCACAAGCTGCCTCCGCGGCGCCCATTGTAGTCCCCAACGTCGACGCGGACAAGAATTTCGTGATCGGCAATACTTGTGACCCCGATCAAAAGAACATCATCAAAACCGCCTTTGTCGGGACTGGCACGTTGGCCTTTTATGGAAAGCTAGATTGGTCAAATGCCAATCTTGAACAAGACCCACCCTTCGTCGAGTATCTTGGTACTAGCGCTATTCCAAATGCTAGCACAGTCGAGAGCGTGTTTAAGGACTATTCAAGCGCGACCGTGAGTGCTGCTTGGAAGATCAATGCGGTTTGCGACATCAAGAACGAGACAGCGGCATGTCAAAGTAAACACGTGTATGGCGGCATAGGCAGCGAAGGCCCCCGGGTGGATCTCAAACCTAATCTCTACTTTTGTTGGGAGTACTTCCGATTCCCTCCTCTGAATGAGGCAGTACAGATGGGTCTGAGCGATTCAGTCGACTGGACGCGCCGGCTCAATATGGGCTCTTATCATGAGAACCAAGGTATGGGAATGCCATCTCGAGCATATCCACATTCACCTTATACTAATCTACTAATAGCTTCCGCACTCTTGCGAGCTTTGCTCTACTATCTCCCACAACGAGAGGGCTGGAACCGGCATATCTCCAACCTGTGGGTGTACATGCGATATGCGGGTGGGGCGAGCAAATGGACAGCTTGCTATGGTGTATACTGCACTAAGCTCCTAGCTCAGTTGGCCGACAGTGAAACATGGAGCATTCTTAATGGTATGCATTTGACAACAAGAAGAACTCTTACCCGATGCTGACGGGTATAGCCGATAACTATGCTCTTTTTGCGTTGCAGAAGTACGTTTCTCATCAACTTGGGGAATCTAACAGTCTTGGAGCATCCAACTTCCCATGGCTTCCTCGTCTCGAAGATGGTCCAAATCCCATCATTCGGCTTCTTCTTTTGGGAGATATCCAGACCTTCCAGGCGACTCCGGAATTTAGCGCAGAGAGTGATTCCCAGTGGTATTACGACGTCGAGCGATACCAGAAGACAGACATTTTGGACTTCAAGGATCAACTTCCAAAAGAATCTCAGGCTGATCTAGAGAATGCGCCCTGGTCTTTTGGCGCCACCACATCCGATTTCAAAGCACTTCGTGACAAGTTCCTGAAGGTGTTCAACGAAGCAAAACAGAACGGCATGTCCAACCTGGGTGCATCAAAAGAATACACATGTTTTCGCGAAGATAAAGCCGCGTTCCCGGACGCCATAGCCTTTACATTTGACGAAGTGCAGAGTGAATTGGACAACTTTTGTAAGAACAAAGTCAACGACTACATGCTCGCTGGCAAGCCTCTACATCCGCGCATCTTCCAAATCGATAAGGAAGTCGAGTTGTATACACAAGTCCCGGATGGTACAAAGGATCTGGTCTACTATGTCTCCCCAGGCCCTGATAGCTTCATGACAGGGAAGAACTTATCTGTATATTTCGAAGGAATACAATCTGACGAGAAAGCTTCGCATTGCATAGCAACATACAACGACCTCATTACACATGTGGGCTGCCAATCTCCACCAATGCTTACGTCCAATACTAACAAACCTAGTGCGATGGAGGAGACAGTGACGACAAATATGGTGGCTATCTCAAAATCAACGACATGGTGCGTTCTTTCCCTTTGGATTTGACCGAACGATAATGCTATGATGAATCCTTGAGAGTCGCACTTAAAAACCATTATTGACGCACTTGCAGATCTTCGCCGTAGGCGCTATGACGCCTCCATCAGCCCACTGGGACATACCACGGACCTTAGAATCCAAATGCACGGATTACAATGCCACGAGCGCATGGCGGGTCGCACCCTTTATCGATATCAATGATAGCGAACGTACGGAGCGGCTCTGTACGTGTTGGCTTGGTAGCAACCCCATGGGTGCGGCTATGGTCTGTACAACCGGGGAAGACTTGCGCGGATGTTTTCACGCAGCAAGGCGCTACCATGGGTGTCTGTGGCGAACATGCGGTGCATTAGTGGGTAGGCTAGGCGGCGGGATGAGATGCTGGAAATGCACATGTATGGAATACAAGAGACGATATTTACACGAAGCTGGAGTACATTCCATCGTATGCGGTCCGAAAAATCACACGAACCGCGAAACATCCCAAATCTCACTAAACCAGAGCTTGAACCACCTGCCAGTCACTCAATCCCAACGTCTAGTCATAACGACTCTGCTATGACAGAAAGCATGCTTCCACGTCTTACGCAACAGTCATCGGTGAGTATAAGATTCCGTGTCGCGGTTCTCTGTCTCCTTCCTACAATATCTTTGCGATAACCACCATCACGCGAATACAAAACAGCCAACATTACCTCACATCTTTGCTATACCTGCATAGTATATCTATTGCCCTGCCATCTTACGGCTATTCCTCTCCTACCGCTCGTCCTACAATATGTCTAACGCCATCAAGAAAGTCCGCTCGTTAGCCACGTCAGTGTTTAGACCGAATGGTCTAACACTTACGACCTTCTTGATCCTCTCTCTCATAGCGGATGGCGCCGCGCAAAGTTCTTCGCAGGTAGCCTCTGCAGTTTCCCAGACTGCCTCGGTGGCTTCTCAGGTAGTCTCCGCTGCTTCTCAGGCTAGCCAACAAGCGTCCTCTCAAGCAGATTCACAATCGCCTTCCCAGACTCTCGCACAAACAGGCCCTCAGCCCTCGGTATCAGCGCTGCCATCAACTTCCGGATCCATAATCTCCTTTGATGATTCATGCAAGGCTGAGCATCGAGACATGCTTGACAATGATTTGAAAGATGTTATGGATCTGGCCAACGTCACAGCCAAAAGCCAAATAGCCTACGCGGATAACCCAAACTTTTGGCTGTATTTTGGCAAAAGTTCAGTCGAACACATCCCGGTCATCAAGAGTGTTTTTCCAGGCGTACTGCAACTTTCAGAGCCAATTTCGGTGGGGTGCAACTTCGACGGCTCAGCTCCGTGTAACGAGCGTACCAAATTTCCGGGCATTGCCAAGACGCAAGGTCAACAACCGGGGCTTGTAATTTGTCGCGAATACTTCGGACTCCCTCCACTGAACCATAGGGTTCAGATGGGTATCAATTCCCCCACCAATCTTACGGCTCGATACAACGCAGGGTATTATCACGACAATCGAGGCGAGTAATTCAACAATTGTACATTTGCCGCTAGATCACTGACATCGATCAGCTACTACCTTGCTGCGCATGCTGGTCCAGTTTCTTCCTACATCGAAAGAACTAAAACGACCCATCTCAGATCTTTGGGTTAATGTATGGCAAGATTCCCCTGGCGGAGTCAAGGAGTCGTGGTCAGCTTGCTACGGGGTACTTTGCGCCAAGGTTTTGGCTCGGGTTCACGACAGCTCTAACGACTGGGGAGCATTAAACGGCATGTTCATCATATCCTGCACAAATGCTTGTCAAGCTGATCATTTCTAGCGGACAACTATGCTCTTTTTGCCCTATCCAACTATGTATCGCAGGCTATCGGCGGCACAGTTCCTTACTTCCCTAGAATTGATGATGATCCATCTTACGGTAAAATGGTCGTTCCTTTCAATGACGAAGAATCTGCCCAAATCCAAGTAAAAGGCTGGTTCCACTGGCGCGGACTTTCCCAGCCGAACTACGACCCTTCTCTACTACAACCCGATAAAGCTGAATTCGATATTGGGACTGAGCTTGACGAAGAACGGAAGGCCGATATACTAAGCGCCCCGTATTACAGAGATCTCCCAGACGAGTCCGTAAGGGGCAAGGAGGACTCATGGATCGGTACCTTTGTAGACGCCCACAAAGACCAACTCCTCAATACGGATGCAACGTCCGACCGTACCTGCTTCGGTGAAGGCCATGCCCAGTACCCAAATGCTAAAGAATTCGACGGAGAGGAGGCAGTTGGCTTTGCCCAACAGTTTTGTGAAGACATCATCCATACTTGGGACCCATCAACCCCAATTCCACCATCTGTGCGCGATACCGCGGATTTCCGTAACGCAAGTAGGGCGTACAAACTTACAAAAACAAACGCCGACTCGCATGTTGGATTCTTTGCGGTCGCTGATCCTGCGTTGTTCATACAAGCTCGAACCACTTGGCACTTTTTTGAAGGAGCTACGGACGACGACAAAGTCGACCACTGTCGCTTGACTTACAAGGATGTCATACGCAATGTAAGACATCAATGCATTCCCATGGCAGCATCAGTCCAGCTACTAATCAACTCAGTGCGATGCGGATCCCACCAAAAGACGTGGTGGCGTGCTCAAGCTCAACGACCGCCTCTACGGCGTCTATGTCACACCGGACGAGCGAGAGGATAAACTTCCCTGGCTCACAGATTACACTGCTCTCGGTGATCTCAAGTGTGCGAATTACAATGACACAAGCAACTGGCATATACAAACATCCATCGAAGGTACATCAAAGACAAAGTTGCCTGTTCAAATAACCGAGCGGGAAAAATTGAGTAACATCTGCTCATGCTGGTACTCTGCTTTTCCGTTCACCTTCGATCTGTTTTGTAAAGGTTCCGCATCAAAGTGTGAGGATTTGGCGAAGGACGACAAGAGGAAAGCGGCGCTTTGGGATGATTTTGCGTGTGCATTGTAGGGACTTGCGATGTCTTCAGGGTGGCGTTGCGAGCCTGAGTTGTATCTTATAGAGTGGCCGGATGCAATGTAGCTATGCGACATCACTCAGAACCCGACCACGTTAAACCAGGAAAACCGAACACCCTGAAGCATACATCGACGTCAGCTTACCTACCTTGCATGCTTTTATCGTGATGTAGTCTACACTCCTGGTATATGCTTTTTCTTGAACGAAGTACGTCTGTCTCATGTCCGCATGACATCAACGTAGAGCTCCTTCCTGTCTGGAACGTCGTGCGTTTTAGCGTTGCGCTAGTGGAAATGATGTTCGCCGGCGTCGGCCACGTCTGCCCCTCGGTCCATCACCTCTGCACCCACAGGTACTCACACATCACGTCTCATCAGCCACTTCACAAATGCGGATAAAACAGCATAACATCTTGCCACTCGACTCAACTTCGAACACGGTGCAGGCGCCGTTGACTTCATCGCACCCGCGTGCGCAGCGATTTCACCTCGGCTTGTAGAACGATGGCGCAATACGGGGTCACGCTCGCAGCCACCACGCTTGCAGCCAGGTACCAGCCGCCCTTGGTTCAGGCACGGCAAACGGCTGGGCATGAGGACGCTACGAGCGGTTGTGGCAATGTGTATGCTATCCCTCATGCATCTAGTTTTCCGAGGTCGCATTGACGGATTCTTGCCAACGCCTCACCATGATTGGAAGCTTGTATTCTAATACGAGTACCGGCAGGAGGAGGGTGTAGGACCCGCTCGGAGCGACCCTCCCTTGTGATCCTTCACTACTGCAGCGGATACTAGTAACGCGGAAAAACAACGTCCATACAGTAGACCGAACAGCGCCAGCACATGTGTGCAGGAAGCTGTGGTCCTCCTGCAGCAGGATTCTAGGTTGATTAGTATTCGACGGGCGGCGCTGGAGCTAACTGAACTTCTGCCACCGCGTATCTACCAATGGTAAAGACCACGAGGATTGATCGCTTAGAAGCAGCTGGACCCTTCTTGATCAGCGACGAACCGGCAAAGTTCCCTGACTCATAGGGATTTTCTACGAGTCTAGACACTGTCGCTACGCTCACAAGTTCAACCTGGAGAGTTGGCCGTGACGATCACCACGATTAGCACGCATATCTACTGGGCGATTTACCTGGACTACGAACAAACACCAGAATAGGTGGACTATGCCCTTGCAATTCCCGAGCTCGCCAAGAGGGTAGAACGCCAAACTACCGGCACTACAAGAAAGTCGGCGAATGAAGAGAGCCATCGCAAAAGCTCCTATCTGCTAAGCGCCCCTCGATATTAGAAGATAAAGGTCTTGGCTCTTGGCAGCGGGACACATGATGAATCAGGAAGGTATGGTAAAGAGGTGTGTATGGCTTCTGCATGAACGGATATGCCCGTGCGGGGTTATTCCCTAAGGCTGGCACATTATCCGACCAACTCGCTTATCTACCCCTACCGGATCTCTGTCGTATCTCAACCTCCTTCCTGAACGGATTCGCGTACCTGGATAGCGTAGGGGTGCTTGCAGACCGTTAACTTTGGTGTTAAGAGTCGCTACATCGATAGCTCGATGGCCTCCAGGGGCGAATCTCTTGTCAGGTGCCTGTTTGGGTGTAACACCGTGGGGGCAATGTCTTGTGAGGTGCCCTATGGGGTTTACCTTTCCGATACTCTTGAAACGTAGCACCCCGGGGTAAACATGCCTTGCAGCGGAAGAGGAAGGAGATATTCTGGTTAGCGGTCGATCCAATTTACAGCTCTTGTGAGGTGCCTTTTGGAGACTACCTTTCTGATACTGCAAGCACGTGGGACCACACCACGTAGCGGATGAGGAAGGAGGCAGTTCGTAGCCGTGTATGCGAGCTAGGGCTCTATCTTGCACAGCAATGGACGAAGACATGATGCAAGTCACGACGCCAGAGGTGGACGAAGAAGTATAAGTATAGGAGGGTATTCCCATCGTTTTCAAATCATCACTCTCATCAGTGTCACTCACTCTACTACCTTCGCTCTCGCCTCTACAACATCAAACGTTCGGTATCTTCACCATGGTTCTCACCAACTTCCTCGCTGCCGTGGCAGTCTTCCTGCCCATCGTCTACGGTGCCCCTACCACTGCTGCCAACAGCCTGCACCCCGACATCCTCGCTGCCATGAAGCGCGACCTTGGACTTGATGCCGAGCAGGCCCACGCCCGTGTTGCCCGCGAGCTCAAGGCCACCGATGTCATCGAGCAGCTCCGTACCTCCACCGGTGCCTCCTTCGGTGGTGCCTACCTCGTTGACGGTGACCTCACCGTTGCCGTCACCGACGAGGCCTCCGCCTCTGAGGTCGAGGCCGCCGGTGCTAAGCCCCTCCTCGTCTCCGTCCCTCTCTCCAAGCTTGAGGCGGCCAAGGCTGCTCTTGACAACATGGACATCGAGTCCGCCAAGCGCTCCGAGTCTGGCATCGCCGCCTACTACGTCGACGTTGCCTCCAACAAGCTCGTCTTCGAGGCTCTTGCCGACAGCACCGACTCCGCTGCCGACCTCGCCAAGAAGGTTGGTCTCGCCGACTCCGAGTACGAGGTCAAGACCGTTGCCGCCATGCCCACGACCTTCGCTACCATCCGTGGTGGTGACGCCTACTACATCAACCGTGCTGGCCGCTGCTCCGTCGGTTTCTCCGTCACCGGTGGATTCGTCTCCGCCGGTCACTGCGGTACCACTGGCAACACTGCCTCCACCAGCGCCGGCGCCACCATCGGTACTTTCGCTGGCTCCAGCTTCCCCGGCAACGACTACTCGTACATCCGCGGCACCTCTGGCAACACGTACCAGGGCCGCATCAACAACTACGCCGGCAGCACCCTCCCCGTCTCCGGCAGCACCGCCACCGCCACCGGCGGCAGCGTCTGCCGCTCCGGTTCCACCACCGGTGTCTTCTGCGGCACTATCCGCGCTCTCGGCGCCACCGTCTCCTACGCTGAGGGCCGTGTTACTGGCCTTACTCAGACCAACGTCTGCGCTGAGCCCGGTGACTCTGGCGGTTCCTGGTACAGCGGTGCTCAGGCCCAGGGTGTCACCTCCGGTGGCTCTGGTGACTGCTCCAGCGGAGGTGTCACCTACTTCCAGCCTGTCAACGAGATTCTGTCTGCTTACGGTCTTACTCTTACCCGCGGTTAAACGCTTGGATGTGAGTTTGCTTTTGCCTAGCGATGGATGATGTGGTATGAAATGTTTATGAGGGGGTTATGAGAACTTTTGAGTTGTATATAGTTTGATTGTTGAATTGCAGTTATGATACCTGGGATACTTTTCTAACAATTCGGTGATGCTGTGATCTTTGAGCGTGACTTCACAGATTAGGATCGGTCTTGCAAAACCCTTCCTACTGATTCGGACATCTCTTTTCGCCTCTTTGATCTACATCCTGTCACAACTCAGCTCATATACAGTTTTCGCTATGACTACTCCGCACACTACTAATGTGATATACTCTATCCCCACCAACTGCAAGATCAAGTTGTCCCCTCAACCCCCATAGCCAACATAACCAAACCCAACTAAGATTATCTTCTGTCCGTCAAAGAGCCTCATCATGTATTTCCTCCAGCTTTGCAGCCAACTCCCCTCCTCACCCATCACGAACAGCTGTTCTATGCTTTTGATCTTGTATACGTCGTCTTACATCCAACATCCAACCAAACAAACACAGAAGAAGAGCAGACAAGACAGTGAAGACAAATCATTACATCAAACTTATCACATCTCAAAGAAGACAAAAAGGCATAGTCTTGTGCGAAAAGCCAAGTGTGGCAACGTTCAAACCAAGGAAAAAGAGTGTGCTCATCATGACATATATTGTCTTTCACTATATCCCCGCGCCGCTATCTCTCATACCGCCCTCCAGTATCCAGATTAGATAGATGGTTTATGGACATGTGGTGGATACTGGAGGGCGATGATTGTAGTCTAGTGTTGTCACTACATTCATCGCCCTACAGTATCCACTATATGTCTATAGACCATCTAATCTATACACATATCTATCATCTACCCTCTATCCTCCACCTTCCTAATCACTCATCCACCACATTACGATTACCGACTCCTACCCACTTCGACCACGTGTTCACCACAACTTCAAAATGCATATTCACAATCACAAACATAAACAAGAAAACACGCCGAACAATCATATCCATCAAATGCAAGACATCATCGAATCTTTGGAAGAAGGTGCCATGCGGACATAAAAAAAGTTTAATAGTGTAAAAAAGCCAACAGCGAGGGTATTGAATCGAGAAAAAGTTATGATACAAGCAAGCAAGCACGCGCCACAACAAGGCCAACGTGCAGACGGACGCCAAAATGCTCCAAAAGTTTGCTGAATAACGTCGTGAAACAAGTAAGTGTGGTCGGGATGACAAGAAGCGTTGATGAGAAGATGATACAAGGAAGAGGTGCTGCGTGGGACATATGTAAACATGTAATTCTTTTACCGCAGCGTCCCTTGAACATCATCAACAGTCCTCTTGAGGACATCCTCGATCCTCCACCTGGGGGGCTTGGGCATCGTCTCCTTGTTATCGTCCGCGGCCTTGCTCATCTCGAGAAGGTCCTCAGGTTCCGCACCGCCAGCAACACCGCTGCTGAACTTGAGTTGGAGGAGCTCGCCAACCTGGTCGCAAGCCGTGAGCATACGGTCAAGATCGTCCTTGGTGTGCGCGGCGCTGACGCAGAAGCGGGCGCGTGATGAGACGAGAGGGGTGGCTGGGTAACCGACGACGACGACGGAGATCTTGCGCTTGAGCATCTCGTGGGAGAAGGCGGGCATCTTGGCGGGGTTGTACAGCATGACGGGAATGATGGGCGAGTCGTCGTGGCCGTAGACGATGAAGCCGAGGCGCTTCAAACCGAGACGGAGGTAGCGCGAGTTGAAGCAGAGACGCTGAAGGCGCTCTTCACCTTGGCCGGGAACGATGGAACCGTCAATGATGCGGAGGGCGGA